TACTCTGTCAATGAAATTAATGATAAGGAAATTGAGAATCAATGAAAGGAAATACGTTCTTTGCTTTGTGTGTAGTCTGGCGATAGAATTCTCAGACGCAGGTGAGATCAGGTCAAATAATGTGTTTGGATATGAAAATGGAAGAGATAGCTTTATCTTCATTAATAGCACTTGAACTTATTACTCTATTGATCAAACAAAGGAGAAATTTATCTTTTGCTTCTAGGCATATTGATATGTTGATTGTCTGCAAAGATAAATGTGTGATATTTTGATCTTCTGTGGGATTTAAGTTTCAGTGTGGAAACAGGGGAGGCTTGATGTATGGGATTGATCCTAGTGCTTCCAGAAAAGCTAGAGATCAGATACCAAAACCAAACCTGTGTGGCAAATAGAAAGATCCAAATCACATTCCCTAAGACCTTCAAAACTAAGCAATGAAGGGGCCGGCCCAGTGGCTTAGCGGTTAAGTGCACGCGCTCCACTGCTGGCAGCCCGGGGTTGGGATCCCGGGCGGGCACCGACACACCACTGCACCGCGTGGCAAGCCATGCTGTGGTGGCCTCCCATATAAAGTGGAGGAAGATGAGTGTGGTTGCTAACCCAGGGCCAGTCTTCCTCAGCAAAAAGAGGAGGATTGGCAGATGTTAGCTCAGGGCTGATCTTCCTCACAAGAAACATAAATAAGCAACGAAGCAGTTATTAAAGTAAAAATAAGTTGAAAGATAAAACTTATTTTAAGGTAAACTTTATTTATGTAAAATAACACTGGATTAATAGAAAAAGAGAGAAAAAATGTTATTGAGTATTGATTCTCTCCTAGACATGGTTCAAGTGGTCTTACCTAGTTATCCTAATGATTCTAGGAAACGATAGAGGAAAACTACTAATTGGAAGCAAACCATGTACTAGCAAATATCACATGCTAATTATGTATACATAAGTATTACAATGCCATGTGTATTGGTACATATTTTAATATTCAAAACAAGGCATAAAATAGCTTTATTATATTTTCTTAAGATAAAATAACTAAAGAAAGATGACCTGCATGAAACCAGTAAATAAACTCATGACTCTCTAATAACTAAGCTTATATTTAACCCTCTCATTTTGCCAAAAAGAAAACTGAAGCTCATGCTAGATAAACAATTTGGTTGTGATGTGTCACAGTAAAAGAGGAGGGAAGAAAACTTTGTGAATCTCTGGAGTATGCTCTTTGGAGTAAAATGACTGTTGCCTCCTTATCTTCTATTTAAAAGCTGCCCCAGGCCATTACTTTACCACAAGAGGATTTAATTTGAACATTTCAAGTGTGCTTTTACTAGAAAAGGCTGTTTTAAAAAAGGAAATAATCATTTGAGAGTAAAATTTAATTTTAGTATTGCCCTGCGAACATTCTAATATTGTTTCCTATAGAACAGAATTCTACAAGAAGATTCATCTATATTGCATCTCATTGCTCGTTATAGTGCCCCAAAGGCTTTATTGAGAGTGGTCGAAGCATCGGCAACCAGGAGATTGTGCATAGAGAGACAAAAGCATGTTTGGTAGCAAGTAGATGCACAACACTGAATGGGAGAAATATTTGAAGGAAATTATCAATAAACCACTTTTCTAATTTTAAGCTTATGTAATGAATAGACACAAATTGATAAAATCTTCAAGAAAAATATCCAGACATATGAAGTTATATGGAATTTGTGGCTATATAGACTTTGAATTCATTAGTATAGCTATTTCAGGTATATTTATTCAGACAACAAATGTTTACTGAACTTGTTCTAGGTGCCAAGCACTGTTTCAGATGCTGAGTGTGTAGTAGAGACAGAAATTGACATAATTCCTGCCCTCATGAAGCTTGCAGTCTAGTTAGAGACCAATATTATTCAAATAATCATATCACCAAAAATATACAGATATAAAATGTGTTTCGTTTAAAAAAAAAATAAGTGCAAAGATGGCATGTGACAGGTGACCGCTAATCTGAAAGATTGGGAAAAGCTTTACCAAGAAAGCTGAGAGGTGAAGAATCTGTACAAAGTGTGGATGTGGGGAGAAGATATGCGCACCACATTCAAGGCAGAGTGAAAACAAATTCAAAGGGATTGAAAAAAGAAGAGAAAAAGTGATAGAGGGCAGCGAAGAGGGTAGAGGCTAGAGAGAGAAGTTGTAGCTGAGACTTCCCTTGTGGCCAAAGCAACCTCCCCATTTCAGCCTCTTGCAAGAATACATATTAACTTTGTGTTGTGTAAAACGAGTGCTGTAGGTTGGCTGGAACTCCCCTGGAGTCTGCTGAGTTCTCATGGGCTTCTCTGGGATCCATCTAGAGTCGGCTTGGCTCTCCATGGCTTCTCATTTTGTTACAGTCACTCTGGCTGTTCACATGGAGTGAAAATACACTCTACTTACAGAACAGTATGGTAAGGGGAAGAGCAAATAGATATAATCTACCAAGTGATATAATCCTCCATTGGCTTCTTTTTTATTACAAATATTTCTCTCCTTCTTGTGAGCAAAATACACTGACATCTTCCCCAGAACACCTGGGAAGTTCAACCCCACATCTGACTCAAAGTACAGGATCTCAAGATCTATCTGAAGTTAGTATTGAGTTTCTTTTGACCAGGGAATCCACATACTAAAATTACAAGTTGTCCGGAAATATTTGAGCTAAAAATATGCAACATACAGAAATACACTGATGGGACAGGAGCAACACTCCCTGTGAACACTTCCATTCAGAAAAGGGAAGAAGGAGGGGAGGGAAGAATAGTCACTGCTCCTAATCATTTCTGAAATCATTCAGGCAAATGTTGTAATGTCTCTTTACTCCTATAATAGGGAAGTTTCCTCCTCAAAAATAGTTTGAGCTTCCTTAAAAAAAATTGAACTACTTGACTCCAGTCAGTTCCGTATGCCAATAGCAACATCAACAATTCTTTTTTGCTGTACATCTCTCTTTAGATACAATAAAAGGCATTTTGAACTTATCAGATTTCCATACAACCATATGCTTGATCTTATTCCAAGTCATTTTGTCTAACAGATGGGATTTTTGGGGGGCAAACGATGCAACCAGACCTTAATTTGGTCTTTGCCCAACGTCTGAGTCTTAATTTGAGAATCTCTTACAAAATGAAGATGACAAAAGTCGCCTATTTTAATACTGAAACCCTTGGAATTACTGGTTCCTTTCTTTTCTCTTTTATCTCTGATTATGAAAGGGCCAATTATTTTCTAAATTTATTTCATTTAAATAAGTGAATATAATAATATGACCTAATAACCCACAATTCAATCTACCTAAATTCTGCCTCGAAATCTTTCACCCAAAGCCACAGATTCATTAGGTACGTTTGTTTCCTTCCAGTTTATCAATAAGAACAGTTGTATCAAATATTTACTCACTGTAAATTCTGGGTACCATTTTCATCCTCCTGTAATAGTTTACTTGTCACCTACATCCCAGCCTTAAAGCTACTGCCATACATTTTTGATTTTATGTTGTGACAGCCTTTACTTTTAGATTCCGATTTATGTATTAGTTAATTTTGTTAGGTTATGTTTTCTGATAACCAACCACAAAATCTCAGTTGGTTACAAAAACATATTTACAGGCATAGTTTGTTTTATTGTGCTTCACTTTATTGCACTTCACAGATTATGCATTTTTTACAAATTGAATGTTTGTGGCAACCCTGCATCGAGTGAGGCTGTCAGCACTATTTTTCCAACAGCATTTGCTCACTTTGTATGTTATTCTCAAAATATTTCAAATTTTTTCGTTATTATTATATTTGCTATGGTGATCTATGATCAGTGATCTTTGATGTTACTATTGTCATTGTTTTGAGGCATCACGAACGCCGCCCATATAAGATGGCAAAGTTGATCCATAAATGTTTTGTCTGTTCTGACTGCTCCACTGACCAGCCATTCCCCCACCTCTCTCCCTCTCTTCGGGCCTTCCTATTCCCTGAAACACAACAATATTGAAATTGGGCCAATTATTAACCCTACAGTGGCCTCTAAGTATTCAAGTGAAAGGAAGAGTTGCACATCTCTCAATTTAAAAGTTAGAAATGACTAAGTTTAATAAGGAAGACATGTCAAAAGTTGAGAGAGGCCTAAAGTTATGCCTCTTGCACTAGTTAACCAAGTTGTGAATGCAAAGGAAAAGTTCTTGAAGGAACTTAACAGTGCTACTCAATAAACACACAAATGATAAGAAAGCCAAACAGCCTTATTGCTGATAGGGAGAAAGTTTTATTGGTCCAGAGAGAAGATCAAAGCAGCCATAACATTCCCTTAAGCCAAAGCCTAATCCACAGCAAAGCCCTAACTCTCTTCAATTCTATGAAGGCTGAGAGAGGTGAGAAAGCTGCAGAAGAAAAGTTTGAAGCTAGCAGAGGTTGGTTCATGTGGTTTAAGGAAAGAAGCCATCTCCATCACATAAAAGGGCAAGTGAAGCAGCAAGTGCTGATGTAGAAGCTGCAGCAAGTTATCCAGAAGGTCTGGCTAAGACAATTAATAAAGGTGGCTACAGTAAACAACAGATTTTCAGTGTAGATGAAACAGCCTTATATTGGAAGATGCCATCTAGGACTTTCATAGCTAGAGAGGAGCAGTCAATGCCTGGCTTCAAAGCTGTAAAGGACAGGCTGACTCTCATGTTAGAGGATAATGCAGCTAGTGACTTTAAGTTGAAGCCAATGCTCATTTACCATTCTGAAAATCCTAGGGCCCTTAAGAATTATGCTAAATCTACTCTGCCCGTGCTCATAAATGGAGCGACAAAGCCTGGAAGATAGCACATCTGTTTACAACATGGTTTAACAAATAGTTTAAGCCCACTCTTGAGACCTACTGCTCAGAAAAGAAAATTCCTTTCAAAATATTACTGCCCCTTGACCTGGTAACCCAAGAACTCTAATGGAAATGTACAATGAGATGAATGTTGCTTTTGTGCTTGCTAACACAACATCCATTCTTCAGCCCATGGATCAAGGAGTAATTTCAACTTTCAAGTCTTATTAGTTAATAAATACATTTTGTAAGACTATAGCTGCCAAAGATAGTGATTCCTCTAATAGATCTAGACAAAATAAATTAAAAACCTTCTGGAAAGGATTCACCATTCTAGATGCTATTATAAACATCTGTGATTCATGGGAAGAGGTCAAAATAAGATTAACGAGAGCTTGGAAGAAGTTGATTTCAACACTCATGGATGACTTTGAAGGATTCAAGACTTCAGTGGAGGAAGTAACTGCAGATGTGGTGAAAATAGGAAGAGAACTAGAATTAGAGGTGGAGTCTGAAGATGTGATTAAATTGTTGCAACCTCATGATAAAAGTTTAATGGATGAGGAGTTGCTTCTTATGGATAATCAAAGAAAGTGGTTTCTTGAGATGGGAACTACTCCTGGGGAAGATGCTGCGAAGATTGTTGGAATGACAATAAAGGATTTAGAATATATGTAAACTTAGTTGATAAAGCAGCAGTAGGGTTTGAGAGGATTGAGTCCAATTTTGAAAGAAATTCTACTGTGGATAAAATGCTATCCAACAGCATTGCATGCTTCAGAGAAATTGTGCATGAAAGGAAGTGTCAATTGATGTGGCAAATTTCAATGTTGTCTTATTTTAAGAAATTGTCACAGCCACCCCAATCTTCAGTAAGTACCACTCTAATCAGTCAACAGCCATCGACATTGAGGCAAGACTTTCCACTAGCAAAAAGATTACAACTCACTGAAAGCTCAGATAATGGTTAGCATATTTTAGCAATAAAATATTTTTTGATTAAGATATGTACATTGCCTTTTTTTTAGACATAATTCTATTGCATTTAATAGACTTTAGTATAGTGTAAATGTAACTTTTATATGCACTGGGAAAGCAAAAATTTGTGTGACTTGCTAGATTGCGATGTTTGCTTTATTGCAGTTGTCTGGAACTGAACCTGCAATGTCTCTGAGGTATGCCTGGATTTCTAATTTACATTACATGAGAGTTGTGGGTCAGCTATAGTTCTCCTGGGCTCAAGTGGGGGCTTCAGGGCTCTGCTGAGCTCAGCTGGGCTTATTTGAGCTCTTGTTAACTCCGTGTGTCTTCTCATTCTGGAACACAGGTCAATGAGGTGTCCTGTATTATAGGCTACTTGTCTCATAGGGAAGATCTGGAGAAAGAAGGTCCCAAACAAACCATCCAAACATGTTTATATTTATGGTCAGATATGACAGATCCTATAGGCAAAAATGTGTCACATGACCAAACTCAAAATTAATGGGGCAAAGGAAGATGGCAACAGTATGGAAGGAACAAATAATTATGAACAAATAATACAATCTACAAGTCCCACAATCAAAAAATTTAGGAAAGAACAAGGGATTTACAATCACATAAATCTAGTTTCAAGTATTGCTACTGTTCTGTACCAGGTGTGGAATCTTGGGAAATGCCATAACATTTATTAAGCTTGTTCTTTATCTGCAAGAAAGGAATAATAATTTATTCTCTATTGGATACGTGGTGAATTAAAAACTAGAAAAGGCAAATACAATTTGGAGCATAAAGATTTACACATAGTGGATGTTCAATAAGCATTACATAGAATTCATTTACTTCTTCAGTCATAGGAGTAGAAACTTTGAATAGCAACAGATTTATTCTATTTCTATTCATAGCTGATTTAACAATAAGGATAGATCTTTAATAATTTACCTAAAATTAGCTTAGGTGGAGAAAAAAAAGAAGATTGGAAACAGAACTTGATGTTTTTGAAAACTGATTCTCAGCTAACACACCAGAGCTTCTCATCTCCTAGAAGTAGTGATTGAGGCTGCACCCTAGGAGAAATTTATTTTATGTATGTATAAGTTCTGCAGGAAGACATGGTGATTAATTTGAAGGCTATATCCTGTTTTTTTTTTTTTTGTCTTATTCTTAAATTCCCCTTAAATACCTCATAGAATTGATGAGATTCTCGAAAGACTGGCAAAAATAATGTCAAACAGATGGAATTTGGAAAAGAACATTTTATATCTTGGGCCTTGTTTCTAGTTAAATCCCTATATATGTCATTCTTCCTATATTAACATTAATTGATGTTTTTAAAAAAATCTCAGAATTTTAAATTCTGCATTGAATTTCAAACTTTCTAAATATTGCAGTTCCAAAATCAAACTTTATAGTTTTCACTTACATGAAACTTAAAGTAAATGTGTTTTTAAGATCTCAGAAAACTTCTGGTCAATCCCTTTCAGAGGTGGAATTTCTCCCTTCAGAAAAACAGGCAAAAAATCTCTGTATCCAATCTATAGAAGAGAATCCTCCCCAAAGTAGGAAATCATTCATTGAAAAAAAAAAGAAAAGAAAAGAATCAGTAATTATATTGACAAATATAATTAATATTTTGATTAAAGACCTAATCTTCTTCAACATTATATAAAAAAAAATCAATGTTGGAGAATTCTTTTCCTACTTCTACTAGAAACAAATGTATGCTAGTTTAAAGACCTTAAACTTTAATTACAAGTTTTACTTCCATAAAAAATTTACTAATTTCCTGATGGGAATTTTAATACTGTGTCACAGTTAAACATTGCGTTAGTTGGCTTCTGTGACACAAAGCTGTCTAACAAATACCATTAAAATCTCGGTGGCTTAAACTACAACTTCTTTGGGTTTTTTTCTTTTTACTCTGCTTACATTTTGATTGCAAGCTCTGCTTTATTTCTTTTTCTCTCTAGGTTTGAGGAAAGAAGAGCAGCAGAGGATACAGCTAAGGTGGCTGACCACTCAGTAGCTATTAAAGATTCTATTTGAAAATGGCATATATCACATCCACTCACACTCCATTAAACAAAGTAAGTCATATGACCAACCTCGAGGTAAATAAATGGGGATAGGGATGTAAAGTCCTCCTGATGGGGGTAGGGGGTGTACACCATAAAGAGACAGAGTGAATATATTTATAAATAATATAATTTATTGCAACTATTTATGAGAAGTTAAACATTTTCACTTACTGGATTTCCATTTCCAGTGATTGTGCTTTTTTATTGCATGTTGCATGCAGTCGTTTGAATGTATATGCATGTGCGGTGAGAAGTATATCATAGAATAGATAAACATTTAGATACTTCAGTGAGAAGATTAGAGAGATTTGGGATGTTACTGTGGTATAAAGTGATACGAAAATTATACTGACAGAATGATTGCTTTATTTTCTACTTAAATAGAGAGAGGAATAAACCAATAAGCTTTCAGAGTCTTGTGACTCAGAACAAGTTTACATTAATTAGAGTCCCCCTCAGGCTCCAGTTTGCCTCTATGTAATGAAGTGCAAAATGAGACGTTTGGCTGTGCCAGGAAGCCATTTAGCTGAAAGACACCACATAATTGGTTTGATGTGCCTCTAGTCGGCCATGTCATGTAGGAAGGACTGTGGGGGTGTTATAGGATTACAAGGTTATAGGATTGCAGTCTAAGACAAGAAAACATGAGCTTTGGCATTGCTGTGATATGAAACAGATTTGGGGGAGAATCTCTCCAATTTTATTTTATGATACTATTAGCCAAAGTAACACAAAAACTAAAGTAGCCTGAAGATCTACTCAGTTCACATTTACCACAGTTGTCGATTTTATAAGATATCCTGACTCGGATCATCTCTGATCTTCCTGAATTTTACACCCATGTGTTCCACTGTCCACTTATGTTAAAAATCTTATGACATTTTTTTTTGCCTGTGGGATTATTGGACAAGTTAAAATATTATTTGATGCAAGTGATATAGCAACATTTGAGATTGTGTTGTTTAAACATATATGAGATTAATACACATAACTTTAAACATAGCAAATTCTGAATAGGTTATATGTTGTCTGTAGAAAGATAAAAAAGTTAAAACCATGTTATTACATAAAGAACTGATGAAAGTTTTTGAGACAACCTCAGCAACATCTTATAATCATAAAATTTTAAAGGAAAAAAGGCACGAAGAAATGTAACACCAATATATTTAATTTTATAGATGTGATCTTAAGAGAAATGAGGTGATTTATATGCCTGAGTTATACAAAGTTAGCAGCAAAAATGATATTATTCATTCATTCATTCTTAAATTTGTTCATTCATTTATGTAAGCACTCATATATATTTAATAATGAGCATGTACTGGCTACATATAATATGCCTATTCCATGTATAAGTGTTGGAGATACAACTGTGAAAAAGAAAAGGCACAGGATCTCTGGCACTTTTGAAGTTACAATCTATTCAGAAAAATATTGAAAATTGCTTAGAAATTGGTGATTGTAGCAAAGAAGAAGTAAAGAATATAATGGTAAAAAAAAAAAAGAGAGAGAGAGAGAATGGATTAGAACCCAGCAATGCTTACTCTCAGTTCAGTGTTTATTCTGCAACACCCAGCCTATCTTATGACTCATTCTTATACTTTCCAACTTGATCTTTATCTGGTAAAAATACTTTTCTATCCTAATAAAATTTATGTATATCTATCATCTCTTTTTCAGCCAATCATCTCCTTTTAAGGGACCTTTAAGCTATTTTCAATTTTTTTTGTTGTTATAAAATGATTCTTCAATATACATCCTGTACGTGACTCCTTACCATATGCACAAACACATCCCTTGGGTAGACTGCGATGTAGAATTGCTGGGTATAAGAACAGGCACATTTTACATTTTAACTGATACATCAAATCACCCTTGAAGAGTAGCTGTACTGATTTATACTCTCAGAATGTCACACACTTGCCAACAGCTGATATCATTAAGCATTAATTTCTGCCAGTCTTATATGTGAAAAATGGTTTCTCATTATTTTAATGTGCACATCTCCGACTTCTAATTATTTTGAGTGATCAAATCTGTTGGTTGTATTGATTTTTATTTTATTGCTTTGTGCTTTTATTGATCTTAACACTTAAATATCTCTCAATTTTGGCTACGTCGCTTTACCACCCCCATTGTCGTTCTAGAAAAACACCTATGTTTTATCACACGGATTACTGCAGTCTCCCGAGTAATGTCCCTGTGTTCACTCTGACCAACACCACCCTTCAATCAATTTACCACATGTAGTTAGAAGGATCCTGACTACAGAACACCTCTTCCTCAGCTTAAACCATTTCTATGGTTTCACATTTCTTTGAAGATCGAGGCCACTGTCATAAACATGGACCAAAGACCCTATATGAACTTGTCCCTCACTTTCTTTAAAGCTTCTCCTCAAGCCATGCTGTCTTGTAGTCACTGAAGCCTTCCTCTAGTTTCTGCCATGTACCATACCCCTTCTCATCATGGTGCCTTTGGCCTTACTGCTCCGTCTTTCTGCGTGACTGCCCCATCACCTTTACCTGTTTGAAACTTGCTCACCCTTCAGAGCTCAGATAGGTCATAACTTCCTAGGGACAATCTGTTTTAAACTTCCCAACTAAATGAAACACTCCCATCACATGTTCTTCTTTGTGAAGCTTATCCAAGCTTTTGTTTATATAAGTTTTGTCTCTTCTTTTAGTATCTTTCTTCCTTAATAGACTTGAAATTGACTGAGGTCAGAAACAGTATATGTTTTTGGTAGCCATTGCATTTTTTTATTGTATTTTTAAGTGCCTGGCTTATATTATATATGCAATGATGGAATGAATGAATATCCCAATTAATGTAACCTCTCTACATCTTCTATGTCTTTGTCTAGATTCTTGATTATGTACATAATTTATTTTAAGTCTTTCCATATCCTAATATATACATTGAAAGCATATAATTTTCCTAGATATTCTATTTTGGACACATTACACAGGTGTTAATATGCAGTATTCTTACTTTAAATTATTTTTAAGTAGTTTCCAGTTCTGTTTTCCTGCCCATTTTATTAACGATAGTAATTTATGTGGACACATTTGAATTTCTAGGTGGATGGATTTTTTGAGCTTTATGTTGTAATTTCTAAATTGACTGCATTTTATTCAGATAGCATGGAATATGTGACTCATGCTGCTGATGTTTTCTGGTTCTAATAAAGAGTGAAACAGTGGTATCTTGAGAATGATCCAGAAGTAGTGGAAAACATGTATTCTCTATTTTTTGGATAGAAATTTAATACCTAATGATACTTGTTAATTGGAATATTCAAAAATCTTGTATTCATTAAATTTGTTGATATTCATTAGAAGATTTCATGTCTTGTGTCTGCTCTGAGAGGTCTGTTTCTGTGATTCATGAGGATATTTTTCCTTCCTATAGCATTTAGAGAAGGATGTTGGAAATTTTTATCATTTTTTAAGCTTTTCTTTTTATATTCCATCTCTTTGATTTGTGTTACATGTGTTCATTCAACAAATATTTATTGAGAACTTACTAAATGTCAGCGGGGAATATAACAGTGAACAAAACAGGAAAAGTAATGGCTCTCATGGAAGCTGCATTTAGTAAGGAGCATACATTGTAGTGTAAATTGTATTTGGCATTCTAGCCTAAACTTTGCCTTGAACTTTTACATCACTACTTCAGCTTTAAGCACTTTTTTCTATTAAACTTGCTTCTCCATGTGTTATTTCTTTTGTTTGTTAAACTAATTCCTTTCTTTAAAATTGCTAGATTTCCTTCAAAGTTTGATGATTCTTGGTTATCTGCTAATCGTTGATATTGAATATCCGTGTTTTCCTGTCTTTTATCCTAGGTATTGATTACTAGAACTCGGCTTTTTCATACAGAGGGAGGATCAAGACAGGTGGGGTGTACCCATCCTTTGTCTTCTGGGTGTGGAGCTACATAATTCTCATGAGTTTTGCTAGGGCCGCTGCCCTGTCTCTCTGTCTCTATTACGGGAGTAAAGATCTCTTTATCTATTACTAAAATGAAGCAGAATATAGTTTCATTTATTTCTGATGCAATTTCCCAAGTAACCCTTCTAACATTGACCCCAGGGACCTCTACAACTCTTTATACCATTCTTAATCAACTCTAAATTGAGAGTTTTGCCACCATCCTCTACTGCAAATAATTTAGGCTATTTTTATTCTTCAATTTTTGTTTACTGTGAATCTGATTCCTCTCTGATGTTTTTTCAATATTATGAGTCTTTCTTATTTTCCAATACTGTTACATATTTATTATATTTTAAAATATTGTTACATAAAAAATCATACTGTGGGGGCTGGCACGGTGAAGTAGTAGTTAAGTTTGCATGCTCTGCTTCAGTGGCTTGGGGTTCACAGGTTCTGATCCCGGGTGCAGACCTGTGCACCGCTTATCAAGCCATGCTGTGGCAGGCATCCCACATATAAAGTAGAGGAAGATGGTCATGAACGTTAGCCCAGGGCCAATCCTCCTCAGCAAAAAGAGGAGAATTAGCAACAGATGTTAGCTCAGAGCTAATCTTCCTCACCAAAAAAAAAAAAAAAAAACCAAAATACTGTGAGATGAATATGCTTAGCAAATGCTCAGTGTATTATGTTGCTAACATGTGTTCCATCTTTTATCATTTTATAGGGCAATTTGTCAAAATGTATGAAATTTTAAATTCTCAATGCCTCTGATCAGACAGTGTTTTTAGGAATTGAATTAAGATAGACAAAGAGATTTAAATATAATAAACAAATCTGAAGGCTATATTTCTGACAATACATTTTGTTGTATCAGAGTGAAAAATTTACCCCACCTTCTCAAACTCTTTGATAATGCTTAATAACATGGAAAATATTCAGAATATATTTTAAGTAATAATAGTTATGATTTCAATGTTATGAAAACAAAATTTATATGTGTGTGTGAAACTAGAAAAAAGACAAATGCAAAATATATATTCCTATCTTCTCTAAATTCTATATAACAATGTAATAATTTTTAATTATTAAGTAAAAATTCTGATATTTATAATCATTTTTAATATCCATCACAGCTGACATTTGGTTAAAAGTCAAATACTAAGAAGGGGCTTAGAGAATTTTATATAGCTCATTGTCTGGTATATATGTGGACCAGTAAATAGGTGCACAATGGATAAATGAATATTGAATATCAAAAGAAGACCTTTATACGTCTCTCATATACTGGTCCAAGACATGTTCTCAAAATGCTAAGCAAGATTTCTTGTTTACAATCTATCAATTATAGAAATCTAAAGGAAGAGTGAGCATAATCCAGCAAGAAAATACATGTGTGTTCTTTTATTTACTGAGTTGCAGAATTCACTGGAGGTTATGCAATGAAACACCCCGCAAATTAACCAAATAAGCAAAACAACCCATTTTCTATGATCTTTTCCAAGGGAAAAATTTCTGAGGATGCTCTTTACACCATCTGTGTGTGCAGTTAGAGCTAACTCTATCATAGCACAATAGTTAAATATTCACAGAGGCTACCCAAATTAATTTAAAGGAAAATTAAACTATTTTTTTCTGAGCTGTTTATAAAGAAGAGACATGCCTACATAAAAATCTGACAACTAGAGTTTATCCGATTGCCCTGTAAGCGAAGCCCAACTATTTCAAATATTGCTTTCCTTTAGGATTCTTCTAGTGATTCACATTAAACAAACAAACAAAAACAAACTTCTTACTCTCCTAATGATTTGACTCAAAGTTTATAAGTTCACTCTTGTTCGCTATGTTCCTGTAATTCTCATAGTTGACTATAAGAATGATGCACAATATTAGCAAGTGGCTTATTTCATAATAATGATCTTGCATTCTCTCTCCTTTATGTGAATATTTTTATTAAGTAAAACATAAGAAAAGAACTTCAATATTTTACCCTTGGTAGGACTGAGGAAAGAGAAATCTTTCAAAACCTGACAATGTAAGCCACTCAACAAGAGGCATAATTAGGAAAAGCCATTAGAACCGTTTGGTCAAAACACTCTAAGAACAAGGACTGTGTTTAGTATTTGCATCTTTAAAAATAGTTTGAACATGTTATTGTTTAAAGAAAACAAACCAAAAGGAAAACGAAACAACCCATAAAATTCTATTAACATCTGAATTAGAGTTAGGACATCATATGTTAATCTATACTTTTTACTCAGCATAGATTCTGTTTCACCTAAATCCCTCTTATTATAACTTGAGGTGTTTTTCAGTCTTTTCTTTAAGCAGAAGATTGAAATACGTGATCTTGTCTCTGCTCTTCACTTACTTTTTGTGTGTAACAATGAATACAATGACATTGAACATTTATAGGTGATTCAATATAGGAAACAATTCATGAATCTTAGTTTGTAAAAACATGAAGACTACAAAGATGAATAAGACCTAATTAGTATTTACAATCTTTTGAATCTTAGACAACTCATCTAAAGTTTATTTACTTATTTTTATTTTATGGAATAAAATAGGGGTGTTGAACTGTGAAATCATTTGTTCAATGTTACACTTGTTAATTAACAGTGTGTGGGTGGTTATAAAGCTTCATTCTCGGGATTGAAGTGACAATTATTAATGTAGGACTGTGCCTAGCACACAGTAAACACTTAGTACATAGGAATTTTTTTGTATTTGTGATTAGAGTTTCCTAAAGGGAAAAGTAGAGCTGAAATGATGAGTCATCAAAAGGAAATGTATAAGTATAACATCATAGATTTCTCATAAATTGTGGAGCAAATATTCAGAGAATCTGTCCAAAGAATGGAAAGTAGGCCTCAACTCATATGCAAAGCATTATAATGAGTCTTTGTTGACAGAGGTCTTGCTGATATTTGGACTCAGCAAGAAAATTTGCTAAAACTGATTAATAATATTTGGTTTGTGTATAGAATTGTTGGTTCCATGGCTATACCCATGCAGATTATTTTCCATTCTTAAACAACTATTTTCTATGAACAGTCTTCTTTCTTAACGTGTTTCTCTAAATTGAAACTGAAAGCGCCATGGCTAGTTCATCTTTAAATGAAGGTATGTTTAATTCAGAAATGACTAGATGCTTTCAGGTTTAGGTTGAAATTTCTTTGACTATAAATAATTACAGAAAAAGTTTGATTTTTTTTGGCTTAATATGTTACAATTATTTTTTAAATGGGTTATTGAATTATACTCAATAAATTGTGATTTCACAATCAAATCCATTAAAGAAGTCCCTATCCCATTCTTAAGAAAGAGTAGGTTTAAAAATAAATGGAATTAATTTTGGTCCTCTCTTGAATTAAACTGTAAGAATGCTTTAATAACCTAATTATTTTTTGAAATAACCAAATTTAATTTCAATGATAATATTATATAAATTGATTTGATTTTTATTGAAGCCGTGAAGCAATGTGTTCTTTTGCATTCCATCTGATAATTACCATACGGGCAAACACATTTCTATTCCATGGACCTAAAGACACCTCTGGATAGGATATCATGCTAATGGAATTTCTAACATACCTTTAGAGTTGCCAAATGAGAATTTGAAAGACTTAATTTATATTTTACTGCTATATGTAGGGGGATACTGGCATCACAATTATCAGACCTGTTCCAGTCATGTTGGATTCCTGTGGTGGACAGACCCATATTGAATGAACGTCTTTTGTAGGCTAGTAACTATGCTACCACGTAGACTGTATACTTATTTAATTTTTTTTTTTTTTTGATGAAGATTAGCCCTGAGCTAACATCCATTGCCAATCCTCTTCTTTTTACTGAGGATGACTGGCCCTGGGCTAACATCTGTTTCCATCTTCCTCTACTTTATATGGGACACCACCACAGCATGGCTAGGTAAGTGGTGTGTCAGTCTGCGCCAGGGATCTGAAACTGCAAACCACGGGCTGCAGAAGCAGAGCGCACGAACTTAACCACTGCGCCAGCTGGCCTCTTATATATTTTTTTAATTTTCACAAAAACACTGTGAAGGTTAGTTCCTGTTTTATAATCCCACTGGTTCAGTAAGACTGAAGCATACATCAAAGGTCAGACTATTAGTAAAATTTTAAAGTCGGTTTAACTTGACTCCCCATACCATGTAATAAATGTCAGTGAGAATAAGTCCTTACGGGACACTGTGTGCTGTTTTCCTCTTACTCTCTCTACTGCCTACATAAAGCTATAGAAGACACTCAATTATCCCAAGTTCTCTTGCTGATTAAAGCAACGTTAAAGGCAGGTTTTGTAAGACATCTACCTGGATCATTCCTTTTTTTTTTTTCTGGCAATGATTTGCCCTGAGCTAACATCTTGTTGCCAATCTTCCTCTCTTTTTTTTTTCTCCTCCTCAAAGCCCCAGTAGATATTTGTATATTATAGTTGTAAGTCCTTCTAGTTCTTCTATGTGAGCGGCTGCCACCACATGGCTACCGACAGTCAAGTGGTGTGGGTCTGTGCCCGGGGACTGAACCTGGGCTGCTGAAGAGGAGCATGCTGAACTTTTAACCACCTAACCACTAGGCCATCAGGGCTGGCTCAACAATTCTTTGAATGGATCTTGGGGCATCTACTCTTTGGCATTTAATCCCTCACGAAAGCTCATTCCAAATTTCATCTTTTATGAGCAAAGTATTCTGTATGAATGCATCTATTTAGACATTTTTTGGAAAGTTCTCCTTCCTGCTGTCAAAGTTTTCAATTCAGCCTCATGATCTTGACACATACCTGTAAACTTCAGGCCATTTTCCAAAACAAAAGTGAGGAACAGAGAGCCATCCTGGGTAGAAGATATCATCTGAAAGCAGAAATGCACAAGACAGTCTAAGTTAGATGTCTACTTTTGTTTTGAGGAAGTCACTATAGCTCCTAAAAAGACATCTAGATAAACTGAGGATTCTGATGAAAATGGGTTTATGGTTCATTTTAAGCTATGACTTGAGATAAAAGCCAATACTTTCTATTGCTTTCTTTTAGGTGCTTCATGCTAATAACTAATTTTACTAGTCAAAGTTTATTTTCTAAGATAAAAATATCAAAAAAATTTTTCCTAGGCAAATGAAACTTTCCATCAGCCATTTCTTCCTTATGTATAAGGAACTAAATTTGCATCCTATAAAATATGTATTTTCTGTAATATTAACTAACTATGCTGTTTACCTTTTTACTTTTAATGACATTAATTTTCATATTTTAAAAAACTTATTATTTAAAAAATTGTATTATTTAAAAAATTGTATTTAGTTTGTAATAACATTAAGACAAACTTTTTTTTCCAGTAATTTTATTGTGATCATAATGGTTTATAACATTGTGGAATTTCGGGTGTACATTGTTATTTATCAATTTCTGAATAGACTTCATCGTGCTCACCACCAATACTCTAATTTTTATCTATCACCATACATATGTGTTTACCCTTTTCACCCACCCCTCAACCCCCTTCCCCTCTGGTAACCATTAATCTGTTCTCTTTATCCATGTACTTATTATCTTCCACATATGAGTGAAATTATGCAGTATTTGTCTTTCTCTGTCTGGCTTATTTTGCTTAACGTCATACCCTCAAGGTCCCTCCGTGTTGTTGCAAATGGGACTATTTTGTCTTTTTTTATGGCTGAATAGTATTCTATTGTATATAATATAACACATCTTCTTTATTCATTCATCCATAGAGGGGCACTTGGTTTGTTTCCACGTCTTGGCTATTGTGAATAATGCTGCAATGAACATAGGGGTGCATAAATCTCTTTGGATCATTGATTTCAAGATCTTTAAATAAATACCAACTAGTGGGACAGCTGGATTATATAATAATTCTATTTTTAATTTTTTGAGAAATTTCCATACTGTTTTCCATAGTGGCTACACCAGTTTGCATTCCCATCAGCAGTGCATGAGGGTGCCCTTTTCTCCACATCTTCTCTAACATTTGTTGTTTTTTTTCTTGATAATTATAGCCATTCTGTCTGGTATAAGATGATATCTCATTGTAGTTTTGATTTGCATTTCCCTAATCATTAGTGATGTTGAACATCTTTTCATGCATCTGTTAGCCATCTGTATATCTTCTTCGGAAACATGTCTGTCCATATCCTCTGCCCATGTTTTGATTGGGTTGTTTGTTTTTATGTTGTTGAGTTGTATGAGTTCTTTATATATTTTGGAGATCAACCCATTGTTGGATAAATGATTTGCAAATATTTTCTCCGAATTGGTGGGTTGTCTTTTCGTTTTGTTCATGGTTTGCTTTGCAGAAGGTTTTTAGTCTGGTGTAGTCCCATTTGTTAACTGTTTCTTTAGTTTCCCTTGCCTAAGTAGACATGGTATTTGAAAACATGCTGCTAAGACCAGTGTCAAATAGTGTATTGCCTATATTTTCTTCTAGGAGTTTTAAGGTTTCAGGTCTTATGTTCAAGTCTTTAATCCATTTTGAGTTAATTTTGTGTATGGTGCATGATAATGGTCTACTTTCATTCTTTTGCATGTGGCTGTCCAGTTTTCCCAACACCATTTATTGAAGACACTTTCCTTTCTCCATTGTATGTTCTTGGCTCCTTTGTCAAAGATTAACTGACCATAGATGTGTGGTTTTATATCTGGGTTTCAATTCTGTTCCATTGATCTGTGTGTCTGTTTTTGTGCCAATACCATGCTGTTTAGGTAACTATAGCTTTGTCGTATATTTTGAAGTCAAGGATTGTGATATCTCCAGCTTTGTTCTTTTTTCTAAGGATTGTCTTCACTATTAGGGGTCTTTTGTTGTTCCATATAAATTTTAGGATTCTTTGTTCTATTTCCATGGAGAATATCATTGGGATTCTGATTGGGATTCATTAAATCTGTAGAATGCTTTGGGTAGTATGGACATTTTAACTATGTTGATTCTTCCAACCCATTAGCATGGAATATCTTTCCATTTCTTTATGTGTTCTACAATTTCTTTCAATAATGTCTTATAGTTTTCAGTGTATAGGTCTTTCACATCTTTGGTTAAGTTTATTCCTTGATACTTTATTATTTCTGTTGCAATTGTAAATGGGATTGTATTCTTGACTTTTGTTTCTGCTAGTTCATTGTTATTGCATAGAAGTGCAACTGATTTTTGTAAGTTGATTTTGTACCCTGCAACTTGGCTGTAGTTGCTGATTATTTCTGACAGTTTTCTGATGGATTCTCTCCATATAGAATCACGTGCAAACAGTGAGAGTTTCACTTCTTTGTTTCTAATTTGGATTCTTTTTATTGCTTTTTCTTGCCTAATTCCTCTGGCCAAAACCTCTAGTACTATGTTGAATAGGAGTAGCAATAGTGGGCACCCTTGTTCCTGTTCTCAGAGGGATGGCTTTCAGTTTTTTGCCATTAAGTATGATGTTGGCTGTGAGTTTGTCATATATGGCCTTTAATATGTTGAGGTACTTTCCCTCTATACCCATTTTATTGAGAGTTTTTATCATAAATGGATGTTGGATCTTGTCTAATGCTTTCTATGCATCTATTGAGATGATCATGTGATTTTTATTCCTCATTTTGTTAATATGGTGTATCACATTGATTGATTTGTGGACATTGAACCATCTCAGCGTCCCTGGTATAAATGCCACTTGACCATGGTGTATGACCCTTTAATGTATTGCTGTATTCAACTTGCTAATATTTTGTTGAGGAT